TGTTTCCTGTATTTTACAGAGGGTATCTGTAGAAGGCCACTATCTGCAGATCTTAGATTGTGTGCCGGAACATAAACAGACAGACACTCTGTGATGTAAGCAGGTGCTAGGTTGTTTCGAGCTTTAAAGACTAGTAGCAGAACCTTGAAATCTATCCTGAATGATACAGACAGCCAGGGATGTGTAGTTTTCTTAGGAAGTCCAGCAAGAAGAGCATTACAGTAGTCAAGTCTGCTTGAAACAAATGCATGAAAAAGTTTCTCTGCATCGCTCTGAGATAGAAAAGGCCGAACTTTAGTGATATTTCTTAAATGATAAAAAGCTACTTTAGTGACCGTGTTTTACATAGAACAGAGCTCAGAGTCTAAGATCACACCCAGGTTTTGTACTTCAGGTTTGGTAGATGAAGCTAAAGAACGAAGTTTCTCAAAAATCATTCGTTTCTGTACCAACAATCAGTAATTCAGTTTTTACATGATTTAATTGTAGAAGATTTTGCGACATCCACTGAGAAATATCTGACACACAGCTGGTTAGTCTGTCTACAGAGTCTTGATCTTCAGAAGGAATAGAAATGTATAGCTGGGTGTCGTCAGCATAGCTATGAAAATTTATATTATGTTTCCTAATAACATCACCTAGAGGTAGCATGTACAAAGAGAAAAGCAAAGGCCCTAAGACTGAACCTTGGGGGACTCCACAAGAAACGGCAAATTGTTTTGATGAATGATTTCCAAGTGAAACCATGAACTGCCTATTACTTAAATATGATTTAAACCATTCTAAAACTGGTTTAATTATATTTATATTGTCTTTGTACTCTTTTCAATTAAATGTAGGGTTTAAATGATTTGCACATCATTTTTGCATGGCGTCACATGTTTTTTGGAAATGGGGTTGCGTTATATTGCATCATTCTAACTTTCCTAAATCAGTGCAATTGAATTGCCACCTTCAAATCAACATATCATGATGTATTCATGTATTTTATTTAAACTGATGGGACATCTGTGCACATTAGCATTTGACTCAACTTTAAAAGCCTTTTATTTTTGGAAAATAAAAGTCTAAAATGTCAATGTGTCACACTTTACCAACTCAGCTAATCCACTTCACCAGAATTAGGATCCAAAATACCGTATTCACTGTGTGATGTTCCTCAATCTGCCAGGCTGTTTACTATTGCCAGCACCTCAATGGTGTGCTCTTAATGGTGTAATAAGCAGTTACCCCAGCAGAGTGTGACACTGATTTCCTGTCTGTTGAAGGGTTACTTTTATTTTCATGCAACCTAATTTAAAACATCATGTCCTAACAGTCAAACACAATAAACTGACACTCTCAACTTTCTTACACTCAGTTTCTAATATGAACATATTTGTGGTGGAACAATATGAAACATGAAAGTGTGAGAAAATGAAAAAAATTAACTGTTTAAAAATGGTGTGTTTGTCTTTTTTTTTCCAAAACAAAACCTGACAAAAACAGGGCCATGTTCAGGATTAGAAAATTCATGTTAAAATTAGATACTATTTATTTGGACATATATTATATGTTCAAAAGTTTCTGGACACTCATCCAGTGTTTCTTCTGAAATCAAGAATAGTGATTTTTACACTAGGTGCTGTAAAACAAAGAATATCAACAAACTAGAAATGTCCTGCATGGAGGAGTGGCTCAAGATCCCTCAACATGTGTTCTCGAACCATGTTAAGCATTACAGGAAGCCACTCAGTGCTGTTATTCTTGAAGGGAGAGGCTTTACAAAAATATTAATAATGGGGTGCAAATAATGTGTCACTAAAGGAAATTTACATAACATAAAACCACACCAATGTAAGCAGACCACAGGAAAAATGATAAGATACAAGAAATATGTAAGAAGCAAGAACACACTTTTGAGTCCAGTAACAGTAAATAGCCTGCAGAGCACAGAACAGCACAGCAGTGTAAGAATGCAGTAGACATTCAAACATGAATAAAAATCGGCACAATATCAGTTCTCTGTCCAGATACTTCCAAATTGCTCTGTAGGCCCATCTAAACATCTGAATGTTAATCACCAGGTAATAAACATAGTTCTGACATTAGATCAATAATGACATCTGAATCCAATACAACTTTATTTTGCAAAAGAGTTGAGTGGAATCTTATGTCTGTCTATATCACCAGTAGATTGCTTAAAGACTCCATATCTTACATTTATCTTGTATTCTATTTTTCCCGGTGGTTGACTTTGTACATTTTATGTGGTTGTAAGTATCAAAAACAGTTTAACCCCTTAAAGCGATTTCAATGCAAACAGCTCAAGCTATTCTTAGGTTATAAAAGTGTGTAATAAAACTGCCCTTTTAAGTGGGATTAATTGTCTATTTGCTCAGTTTGTGCGACTCTAAAGTGTCTAAATAGGCTAATTGATTTATTGGCTGATATGAAATGACATTTATACACAATCATGGGTAGAACCAAGCAAAGCCTATATTTATCGCTGTTGAGTGTGAAAATAAGAGCGAAAACACTTGTAATGAACTTTTTCAGAATAGTAATTTTCAAATTTCCAAAGGAAATGTCAATTTAGCATTCTAGTTCAAGTTCTGCTGCACATTACTGGTCATATATAGTGCTCAGTGACTTTATCCTCACCTGGAAAGCTGAAGGATTTTCTAAACTGTCAGCTACAGTGTAACCAAAGACAGAGAACACTCTTGAGTACCATTAGGTCCTAAACAATGAAACTGGAACTTTCAGTCCTGAACTAATGGCCAATGGTAAAAGGACAGTTCCAGTCTTCTGCTGGCAAAGGTTCCTGTTCTTTGGGCAGTGGAAAAACACTCTTTGTTGCTACTTTATTATGTACACCTACTTGATATGGGCCACTCAGACACTTAGACATACGCTAGGTTTTTAGATGGCTCTTGATTTGCATAAATGGTACTGAACATTTACATTATGTGGTCTTTAAATTTTAAAACTTTGATAATTTTCTCATTTACAGAGATGGATCTTTAGGGAGCCCTGCTTTCAAAGGTTTTTCAGAGAAGCAAAAGTGGTTCTTCTATAGCAACACTCTAAGGAACCCTTTATGGCACCTTACATTTTTACTAACAAGCAATAAAAAAAACATCCAGATGTTTTTATCACTCAGAACAGCATCAGAAAAGTTATGGAACAAATATGCACAAATGACCTAAGAGCGTAGGTGATACTCATTGTGAGAATGGCTTAACAGAGTCACAGCAATTGTGTTTTCTAACCAACAAATTTACCTGAATGTTAGGTCAATTCTGTTAAAGAGAAATTCAAAATGTCTGCATAATTAAATGGTTGAGATGTAAACAGAGTCATGCAGAGTGGTTTGATGTGAAATGCTCAGTTCTAGAGAAACTTACCGAGCCAGACGTGATAGGAACCCGACGTCTGAAGAGTTTAATGTCTCTAAAAGCTCCCTCACAGCAAGTTATTACATTAGATTGTTATTAATACTCTGCCTGATCCTGCGACATTGTTTTACCATAGTTTTGAGATAAGCTTCTAGTCTAAAACATGTATCTATAAAAGCCATTCAAGGCAAAACAGACCCCCAAAAAAACTTTACTACTATTTTACCATTATCAACATTACATATATACAATCAGAAGACCCATGTATATTGACTAGTTGTATTGGATAATACATACAAAATGCTATAGTTGTGTTGTAGACATTGTGACCCCTGGTTCCTATCACCACCACTGTCAAGAAATCTAAGTCTGTAACTTTCTCTACAATACACAATTTTACATCAAACCACTCTGAATGACTTTGTTTATGTCTAAACCATTGAATTATACAGAATATATAGGTTATGGGTTAGTGCTTTCCTGCTTTAAAAATCCTGGTGGAACTCCTCAGCTTATTATCATTAGAGCAGAGTCTGTTACTACTTATGTCATTGACCATCTTTAACCCTAAAAGGGCCTTTATGACGGTTCACACTTAAGTTCCTCACTCTCATAGCTACACAACTTACAGATTAGTAGTTACTGAATAATTATCAGTAGCAGTCCCGACTTTGGACACCAGAGGTCAGCACCCCCTAAATTCTGGGGCTGTTTATATGTCAATTCTTTCCCCTCACCTGTGCCTCCTTTCAACAGCTACCTCCCCCACAAGCACCCCTCTTTAAACATCACCTTTGCGAAGCATTGCCAGTTGTTATAACTTTGCTGTCCTTGGCCTCCTGTCTTTGTCTTTGGTCATTTTGAGCTGTTGTGCCGGCTTTGTGGCCATATATTTTGGTGGATTTTGTCTTTTTGGTAATTTTGCCCTGTATTTTTGCATGTTGTCTGGATCTTTTGCTTGTTTTGCCTCTTTGGACTGCTTTCCGTCTTGGATATTTTCAACTGTAATGTACTTGATTTTCTGGTTCCTGACCGCTGCCTTTTTTGGACTAATAAACTACGTATTAAACCTGCAAAAGGATCCTTCCAATCCACCTACGCCTCCTACTTTACAATAATATGCCTTAAGCTTAACCCTCAGAAGTCACAGTTATCGCTGCTGATAAAAGCATGATGGTAATTATTTCTCACTATGGAAACAAGTGGAGAAATTCTGTCCACAGTTTGGATTCTAAAGTTTCAACTGATACTGTATTTGTCTTTGTAACGGAAAGAGGAGAGATGTTACGGCTAATATTTGATGAAAAGTCATTGTTGTGCATACATTGTTAAGAAAAGCAATCATTTCCCTTTTTTGTCTCTTCATGACATAAAAAACAAACGAAAAAACGAAAAGTTGAACCTGTTGACAAAGAAACTAAGTTGTATCCTCTAGAGGGCGGTCATCACCTTTATGTGTACAGTACTGTAGGTCTTCCTCAGTCACTGAAATATTGACCTGAGATTTACAGGTCACTAAGATGTCTTGGCCTTCAAGCTTCAGGGAACCATGCTTTTTGTCTAAGTCAGTTAATCTTATATATAAATCACAGATGTGATTTAAAGAATTCGAATTCGAAAGAAATTGTGTCATATCTTTATTTTCTGCACATTACACTGATTTTTCTGTTCTCATGTACCGAAAAGTAACCACCATCTACAAACACTTAATTGTGGAGAAACACATGGCCACCTATTCATATTAAAACATCAGAGACACAGGTAGACACTGGCAGTAGATGAGGCCAAAGGTCAGCTGGGTCAGAAAGTGTTACAGGCGTCTTCCTGGCAGCATTTGATGCGGAGGTAGGCGTTCTGCTTCAGCATTTCACAGTCTGACATGGCCAAGCACTTCTGGTAATGTCCATCTGTATTAAAGTAAAGAGACAAAAGCACTAGATTATAATATATCAGCGCACTCCATCCCCAACAGCAGTAAAACAAACAGCACCAAGGAGGTGCAGGTGTGTGATAAGTGTGAAATATTAATAGAATCATGATGCTGCTAGTGACTGACCTCAGCTATAATCATTGAGCAGGGTTGGGTAGTAACAGAAAACATGTAACGCCGTTACATACTCAGGGTACAAAAACGGTAACCGTATTCTGTTACAGTTACCGAAAAAAGTTAGTAGGCTAATCAGATATGAAACAGATATGAAAATAGGGTTGATCACCAGTGGGATTACATGTAAACTGCATACAATCTATAGAGATTTTAGTACATATTTTATTTTTAGTGTCACAGCTAGGATCTGCAGCATTTTCCTGAAGATATCTGAATCAGGCATTTACCCTAGTTTTCCATGTCGCCACATCCTACATCAACTGATCTGGAACTCTTTTATTCTCTTTTATTCTCATTTGTAGCTACGTGAATTCTATAGATTGAAAAGCTATAAATCAAACTTTTGCTGATATTAACTTGCCAAATTTTAATGCTGAATTGAGCTACACTACTGGACAAAAGTTTCGGGACACCTACACATTACACCCACAGGAGCTTTTATGGCAGCCCATTCTAAATCCATAGCCATTAATATGGAATTTTTGCCAATTCATCCAGAGGAGCATTTGTGAGGTCAGACAATGGTGTTGGACGAGAGGGCCTGGCTCGCATTCTCTGTTTTAGTTCATCCCAAAGGTGTTTGATGGGGTTGAGGTCAGGAGTCTGTGTGGGCCAGTCAAGTTCTTCCACACCAAACTCACTCAGCCATGCCTTTATGGAACTTGCTTTGTGCACTGGGGCTCAGTCATGCTGGAACAGAAAAGGTTCTTCCCAAAACTGTTCCCACAAAGTTGGACGCATAGAATTGTCTAAAATGTCTTGGTTTGCTGAAGCATTAAGATTTCCCTTCACTGGAACTAAACTTTACACTTGGCCCAATGCAGTCAGGCAGGTAACGTTCTCCAGGCATTCACCAAACCCAGGCTCATCCATCAGACTGCCAGATAGAGAAGCTTGATTTATCACTCCACAGAATACGTTTCCACTGCTCCAGAGTCCAGTGGTGGCATGCTTTCATTTTGTCCACCTGTTAGCAATGGGTGTGGCTGAAACACCTGAACTCAATAATTAAGAGGTGTGTCCTAGTACGTTTGTCTATATAGTGTAACTAACAGTTCCAAAACGAAAAAAGAAAGCAATTCTCGTGAGTGGATGATTTCATTCTGCAATAGTTTTTGAATGATGGGTGCAAAATGTCACTATGTATAAATGATCATTGCTGGTAACTAAGTCTCAGCTATCACTTAGAGTTTGTGTGAAATGAATTCTTTTTTAAACTCGTGTGGGCTGCAAAAAACACTGAGAGCTGATAAGAGACTGTCAACAAATTATGTGACAATCGCTGATCGTCAAAAATCCAAGCATGACACAATGAACACAGATTATGGCTGGTATAAGTCTTTAGAATGGCCTCTATTTGTAATAATTGTTGATGAGGGATCTCAAAAGAAGATGTGTACCAGACTGACCATTTAACTTTGGGATGCTAAACAACAAATTTTTACCAAAGAAGCCTAAATCCCAGAAGAGCAATATGGTTTTAAAATAACTACAAATTTGTCATCTTTATGTCTGAAATATTTTGATATATTGCACCACTTAGATTTGGTCATCTTGCTGAACATGAGATCAAAGACTGTTTGTGTGGGAGACAATCACACAACATAGCACACATAAAGTGCAGACAGTTACTGTGTGTGTGTGTGTGTGTGTGTGTTTGAGCTCACATGGTGCTCTGAGGAACTTGGCTGCAGCGCAGGCGTCTTTTTCTGCAGGACAGGTTACCTTAGTGACCTCACAAGCTCCGCCTGCTTTCGCAGGTACGCAGTGGAGGCAGTCCAGAGCCAAACCTGGAGAAAAGGTACAGACTCATATACGGCTCATAGTCATATACATATGCTCACCACAGGCTGCATATACCAAGAACAATGAACAGGAATACAAGATGGAAATTCTAGAAGTAAACAAAACACCTAAATAAAATGGATAGTTCTGGTTGTAACATCTAATGCAAAGCTGTTCACACCCTTCAGTCAAATTTGGTATTGATACATTAACTTATCAAAAAACATTGAAGTTTTCATGTATTTATCATTGTTATGTTGCTTGGCAAATGATAGTCTACTGTTAACATACATTGTTTGATGGAACAATTGTTTATTGTGATTACTATCAATAATACATTAAATTATAAAAACACTGTGCTCATTGCTTTATGGACTGATTGGTTTCTTCCAGCGAGGAACCCACAAGGCCTTCTAGAACCTAATTATTTCAGGCAACCAAACCATACAGATATGGAATGTTTAGTTCATTTTTTATTTAATAGGAACATCATGCATGCTGTGTTTAAACTCTGGAATTATTGTAAGACTCTTCTTTCATTGTCAAGTTTTGGTTGGAAACAAACGTGTTAAAATCTTGAAACGCGAATGCAAAGTAATCCAATCAACTTCTTTCTCTGTGGCATTTAGGTAGATACAGCCAAGCTAGCTCTCCTATTGGTTAGGCCTTCAGGAACTGGACACATCAGATTAACCACTAACATAATTAGAAACTGACAGTGGAATCAACCTATTGCTTTTGGATGTACAGTGGATGGGACCAGTTTTGTGAGTAAAATCATCTGTAATCAACTGTAAATCTGAACAGCAGCGTAACCAGGTTTCAGTTAGTCGTTAGAAATGGCAACTCTAGTTATAAAACTGCAACATATGAGGTAAAAGATATGTGAATGTCTGACAGTTAAAAATAAGCCAATTTAGACAGTTACAATTTTAAATGCCTGAAAATTAAGATTTCATTATTATGTCAGTGATTTCACAGCTTTGGTGTCTTCACCATTATTCTTAAAGGTGTGAAATAAGAGGAACCCTTCATGAGTGAGTGTCTTTTGACTGAATATCCACATAGCCTTTACTTTCTGCTTTATTATTGCACATAAATCTCCCACTAGTGCTGCACAGTCAGTGATTACTGGTACCATACAGTGGCTGGAAGTGAGATGCCACAACATGTATTTGAGTGGGGAAAGGTGAACGACCATCAGGATGAGTTCTAAAGAGTGTGTTTGCTTAACAAGAGTGTTTCTTTGACAGTAAACCATGAGCCCACTCACCACTGGACACCGCAAGCACCAGAACAACAGCAAATACCAGCACCTTCATTCTTCTGCTGAAAGAGTACAGTCAAATATTAACAGTCCTGCAGCGTGTGGTACTCAATGTGGCCTATTTTCTGAAATTTCACAATTAGCTGTCACTTCATGAATAACATGAACATGCACTATATGGACAAAAGTATTTGGACACACCTCTTAATCATTGAATTCAGGTGTTTCATTCAGTCCCATTGCCACAGGTGTATAAAATCAAGCAGCTAGTCATTCAGTCTGCCTTTACAGACACTTGTGAAAGAATGGATCATCCTAAAGAGCTCACTGAACTCGAACGTGGTACTGTAATAGGATGCCACCGAAGCAAATAGTCAGTTCGCAAAATTTATTCTCTCCTAGATATTCCACAATCAACTGTGAGTGGGTTTATTGAAGAGTGGAGGCATTTGGGAACCTCAGCAACTCAGCCATGAAGTGGCTGAGCACAAAGTTACAGAGCGGTCACTGAGTGCTGAGGCACACTGTGCATAAAAGTTGGCAATGCTCTGCTGACCCAATGACTACAGAGATCCAAACCTCCTCTGACATTAACATCAGTAGAAAAACTGCGCCAGGAGCTTCGTGGAATGGGTTTCCATGGCCGAGCAGCTGCATGCAGGCCTTACAAAACCAAGCACAATACCAAGCGCGGATGGTGTAAACCACTCGGCCACTGGACTCTGGAGCAGTGAAAACGTATTCTGTAGAGTGATGAATCACGCTTCTCTATCTGTCAGTCTGATGGACGAGTCTGGGTTTGACAAATGCCAGGAGAACATTACCTGCCTGACTGCATTGTGCCAACTGTAAAGTTTGGCAGAGGAGGGATAATGTTATGGGGTTGTTTTTCAGGGGTTGGCCTAGACCCCTTAGTTCCAGTGAAGGGAAATCTTAATGCTTCAGCAGAACAAGACATTTTGGACAATTCTATGCTTCCAACGTTGTGGGAACAGTTTGGGGAAGAACCTTTTCTGTTCCAGCATGACTGAGCCCCAGTGCACAAAGCAAGTTCCATAAAGGCATGGCTGAGTGAGTTTGGTGTGGAAGAACCTTACTGGCCCGCACAGAGCCCTGACCTCAACATCGAACACCTTTGGGATGAACAAAAATGGAGACTGCAAGCCAGACCCTCTCGTCCAACATCAGTGTCTTACCTCACAAATGTTCTTCTGCATGAACGAGCAAAGATTCCCACAGACACTCCAAAATCTTGTAGAAAGCTTCACAGAACAGAGGACGCTGTTATAGCTGCAAAGGGGGGACCAACTCCATATTCTTAACTATAGATTTAGAATGGAATGTCATAAAAGTTCCTGTGGGTGTAATGTGTAGGTGTCCCAATACTTTTGTCCATATAATGTATTCATACATTTGTATTTATACATTTGTTAATTTCACAGTATTTAATACTAATTACTAAAATAACATTACTAAATTACCAAAATACTAATAATTACTAATTACTAAAATAACATTTTATTCTGAAATCAACCCATCTTAAAACATTTCCTGCAATACCACAGAAAATTACTGTGAGGTTGACACACAGTGTCCGTTTTTCAGCTGTACCACAGAGTGTTATGGGATTTGACAGCAACTGAGTTAAAAAGGCATAAAAAATGTAATAAAACGTTTTAAGTGTTTTTTTCTCACAAATCAGGTTTTGATGTTTTGAGGATTTTCAAAGTTTCAACCTTTTAAACACTGGATTGTTACTGTTTTGTAATATTCCGAGATATAAGGTTTTTGGTCATGTTTAGAAATGTGCAAATTATAAGCAACATTGAACAGTCTGTAAAATGTGTATTTGCATTTTAAAAATGCATATTTGAGATATTCTGTGCAGTGGACAGCATGGTGAATAAACATGCTCATTGACATATGTGCATACGTTTCTTTATATGTATATATGGCTTCTGAGTTGCATCACGTTTACAGTTTTTCTGTAAAAATACAGGAGGTTACTGTATTTTAATGACAGCTTATTACTGTAAGTGTACAGCAGAGTACAGCTGCATCAAAGTAATCTCATGAAGTCACAGAATATATTTTATTTTTACTTGTTATTGTTACTATTAATATGATACAGCAAATTACTGCATCCTGCAATTATTGCAATTGTCATTTAAACACTTGCATAATAGAAGCCAGTGGGCAGTAGGTTCAGCCTCTGCCCACTGGCCACTATTATAAGTGACTTCTGAGGTCAACAGTCTTTCTGTTCTTTTACTGAATACTGGGAAACATCAAAATCACTGTTCATGTTAAATGATAGTATTATACAGATGTGGTACAAATAGGTTAAAAAATACTGAATTTTTCAGCCTAGTATAATCATGTAATGACAGCATTTCTGAAAAATAGTATTGGACAAAGGTCTGCAGTTTTCTTGTAGCCTAATACTGTAGCTTCTTCTAGGTCTTCACAGCAGAGTCTATTACATTCTGAGGCAACAGGACAGCTGTGAACTGCAAACTGTATGAAAGCAAAAGCCTTATGGAACTTACCTTTCTGCTGCAGTGTTGCTCGAGACTCAGCTGACTTTGCCCACACTATATGTGGCGCTGTGTCTTCCAGAATAAATGTTTCTTCATCCTCACTGCCTTTATCACCCCCCCTTTTCTCTCTCTCTCTCTCTCTGTGTACACAGCCCCTCCTCACACACACCCCGAATACTCCGCCTGCTCATATTTCCATCTGTCACTCGTTCATTACAGCCCTTGGACATCAAACATGTTGCTTAACTTTATGGCTGCCTGTGTGTGTGTGTGTGTGTGTGTGTGTGGTTAGGGATCAACAGTATATTATCATATTTTAAGTGTAAAAGTAATATTTCTGTCTTAATCTATGAGATTGAGCCCTTTTTTTCTGGTGAAAACAAGGTTTTTGTCAGTGGAGTTATTGCTAGGAATAGTGTGATAGTGAAGTGGATAACACACTCACCCTGCACAAGATAGGACAGGATTCTGTACTCCTGGACTAGGTAATACTGCCACAATATACCAATTCGGGTGTGTTCAAACTTGGCAGTTTTGACCTGATTAGAACTTGGTGCAATTGCTCTGTTAGGCACCATTTAACCCTGAAAACTCCAACTTTGCATGAAAATAGATCAAATCAAAGCAGTAATAATAAATCTTACTTGATATCTGCTTGTTTTCGGCTGGTTTGTCAATTTGAATGTAACCAATCAAGTCGCTGATGCAATACATTCCATGATCCGTGTGCTCAAAATTAAGTGCATTGCTTTGCTGTTATTTTAATGCTCTGCTGTTATTAGTTAACATAAGTTAGCATATTCTTTACAGGGAACACATTTAAATATGGCTTTTAGTGAATATGGCAAAGTTTAGTGCACCATTTCTATTGATTTACTGATTTTAACATATTGGATAAAATATGAAATATAAAAAATGTGACAAAATTTTTACACGGGCCACACTGTTTGTGTGTATTTTTTTAGACCCAATGATAAATTCAACAAATAATATCAGTAAGTGTGCACCAAAATGTGTTAACATACAGTAACATGTAATTTGACCAAGGGTGCACATGACTGTATATAAGTCTGCATGTGCATGTGTGTATGTGTGTGTAATGTTGATCAATGGTGTCAATGGTGTCATTTAATTGCTTATGTATAACAGATGTTAACCTGCAAAATAAGCCTGCTGAATTTGCATATAAAGCTGAGACAGAGTAAAATAGTGCTATGGAGTTGCAATAATGCACCAGACCAACTGACTGAACCTGCTGTACTGTTTCTCCCTGCACTGCGATCATAACACTATATTTGCTCCTGTTTTGCACGGTGTTGACTCCTCATAGCTGCAGACTGCTTCTGCCTGCCCTGTTTTGACCGTGTCCGTTTTGTAGCTGTCCAAACAAACCCAAACAGGCGGCTAAGTCAGTGTCCAGCGTGGTTCATCTCGCAGCTCTGAACGCCGGCCAAAAAACAGAATGCATTCGGCACATTGTCTAACCCCCTACAGCCAAATCCCGATATCAGCAGAGACCAATGTAAGGGAAATTGTCCATGAGGCGAAAACCACTAAGCCCTCTATTATATCGCTATTGTAGCACGAGCCTCGCGATAGCCCGCCACGGCCTATAGGCCATATATATCAGACTGTCCAAATTTTCCCTCCGGTTGCTTTCTTTCTCCCTCTCTCTCTGTGTCTAGAGGATAGTTTGGACTGTCTCCAGGATGTCTCAGTATTCAGGGAAGGTGAGTAGCGCACTCAGTTTCGTGGAAACTTCATCCTTTATGAAGCTGCAGAACGATGCACATGGAACTAGCATTAGCAAATATGCTAAATGTGCAAGTCTGCTCTGCACACTGTAATCTGTCTTAGATCTGTCTGAGCCTTGCACACTGTAAAATCCTGCCTATAAAGACAGACACAGGATTAGTCTTTCACTGTAAACAGCCATCAGCCAGCAGAACACAGAAGAGCAATTCCTATCAGCAGCTAAATTATTACATACAGTCACAAGGTTTTGGTCAGTTGATATGTTTTGTTGATGCTCTAAGTGAAAATCAGGTAACACATCCTCTACAGCAGCAGTCTCCAACCCTGCTCCTGGAGATCTACCTGCCTGCAAGTTTCACCTCCAACCCAAGTCTAACACACCTCCTTCAGCTAATGAGGGACTTCTGAAGGCAGTAAGAGGACGGATCAGGTGGGGTCTATCAGGAGTGAAGCTGAAGCCTGCAGAAAGGTGGATCTCCAAGAGCAGGGTTTGTGACCACTGCCCCACAGAGAACACACATCTGCACGTTTTAATGCACAGATACAGAATTGCTGAATTTAACATGTCGAGAAAAAGTAAAACATAAAATGTGGCCTGTGTAAAAGTTATGGCACATTTTATATTTCATGTTTTATTTTTTTCCCATATGTTAAACTCAGCAAATAGAAATTGTGCACTAAAATGGCATATTTAAATGAGTTCCATCTAGAGGGTGCGTTAAACTACTTTCACGTAGAAAATCAACAAAACCTGTCATTTGAGTGGGGTGCCAAAACATTTGCATACGACTGTAGTTGTTGTGCACTGAACTTACTGTTATCTTCATGCCTCACACAAACCATAACAGGGACCCATGCTTATGCCACAATATGGGCAATATTGTCAACATTGATACTTGCACGCAAATAATTATGCATGTAAATAGTGCCTGTAATGTTCTCTTCAGTCATTCAGAAGTCATAACCTTTAAGACAATAAATAAAACATGTTATCAGGGTTCTGAGTTATAAGCAATTCTAAGTTCTAAGTAGAAATGTTAATGACTTTATAGTAAGAATGGCACGATACCATTTTTTCTTTTCCAGTACTGATACCGGTACTAAAACCTTGAGTATCGTCTGATTCTAATATTTTTTCTTTAAAAACTACTAAGCTTTAAATTGGGTAGTTTTTAATTAAAGCACTTCACTTAAAGGGAAATTCCATTGATCTTTCTAAATTTCTCTATAATAAAATGGTTAAGATCTATTAAAAGTCATTTCAGAGATATTTTATGTGAAATTGTTCATTATAGAAAAACTTGAGTCAGAAATGTCCACAGTGGTGGTGATAGGAACCAGGCGTCCGAAGAGTTTAATGCCTCTAAAAGCTCCCTTATGGAAAGTTATTGCATGAAATGCTTATGAATATGCTGCCTGGTGCCCAAGACATTGTTTTGCAATAATTTTGTGGCCTAAATCATGTTTTTGAAAAGCTTTTCAATGGTGGAGAGGTATAGAAGGCGATGTAATACAAAGTAGAATCCAAAGAAAATGTATTTTGTCAGATTTACCACTACTTTATCATCATCAACATTACAAATAGAAACTCAGAAGAAGTGTAGATTCACTGGTGGTTTTGGATCATAAATAAAATGGCTATATTTGTGTTATAGACATGCCGACCCCTGGTTCCTATCAGCACCACTGAGAAGAAAACGTAATCATAAAAGTTTTCTACAGTGAACTTTTGCACATCAAACCACTCTGAATGACTTTCTTTACATCTCGGTAACTGAATTATGCTGATATTATGAAACATTTGTGGAATTTCCCTGCAAGATGAGCATTTTAAAGTAGGCTATAATGCTTAAACTATTAAACTATGACCCCACAGAAAGAATATGTACAGCTAGCAACATCACATCCAACAGTGTGAGTGTGTGCTGTTTCAGGACAGATTTGTTACAGGATCGGATCAGATTCATTCTTTTTTTCCCTCCAATATCCAACCCAGCACTTTCTGCTCAAATTAGCCTGATACCGATAGCTGGTATTGAGTCGGTGCCATCTAGGGATCGGCCTCTTTGGGTCAAACTTTATATAGAGATTTGTAAGATTAAAGTAATTAAATAATTGAAATAATTGAAAACTCTTAAAGCTCCAGGCGACCGCACACCAGACATACTGCCCTACTGAAATAAGACCATTAGAACCATTGGGATTAAAACCTGATGACTTTGTTTTCTGATGGGAATTAGAAATTGGCCTAATGGTTAATCTTAAAGACCACTAGTATCCCGTAGAACACCTGATTGTATGTTGATTATAGTATAGTAACGTTATAGTAATCTTCATGATCAGAACTCACAGACATTAAACATGCTAACTAACAGTATGAGGGTGTGTGTGTGTGTGTGTGTGTGTGTGTGTGCATGTGTGCATGCATGTATGTGGGCAAGAGTGCATGCAATTGTATGTACATGTGAGATGTTTCATAACTCAAACTTCCTTCTATGTACTATTGCACTGTTGCTTTATCTACACACAGCAGACCACTCTGACAACATACAGGGGAAACGTTGGCCTACAATGTGTTAATGTGTGATAATATCGTATGACAAAGAACAATAAGGGTCTAATGATGGCCATGACTGTACATTACTAAAGAAGCCTTGGTCTTGTTAATAGAGCAAATCTCACATCATAATCCTAATGGTTACACAGTAAACTGTAACATGCTGCAGTGGGTAAAAGTTGGGAAACTGATTTCCTCAAGTAAAATAACTAAAAATTCTAGTTAATTTAAAGTTAAGCCCAAATCTTCCAAAATGGTAACTTTACAAGAGAAAAAACACATTCACATTAACTAAATCATTTTAAAACATTTCAACTGGCCCTTTCAAAAAATCACACAATGTAAAGGGCAGCTGGCATTGTCAAAATTATGTCAAAGACATGGAGATACAAAGTTTTGCTCCAACAGTGAAACCTTTTGTTGTCAGAACAAAACCTCGCATCTCCAAAATGGTAACTTTACTGAAGAGGGAAAAATCTTCTTTACTTTCAATGTAAGTCAATAGAACCAGACATTTCGCCATGTCATTTTTGGCTGTTTCGTTTGGTCCATTCTTCATGAAATATACACACAATGTAAAGGGCAACAGGTATTTTCTAAAAACTGAAAAATGAGATACAAGGTTTTCTTCCTCTTTAAATAGCATTTTTAAGTATTTTATCAATGAATTATAGTGTAATGTAATAAAATTCATTTTTAAAAACCCAGTTTGAACCCTAACTATCATCTTTATTTTTTGGCCCTCAGCCCACCACAAACATTGCACTTTGGCCCCACCAAGACAAAAAGTTTGTAGACCCTTGTATCAATTAATGTTTTTTGCTAGAACCGTTTGTCCAAGCCAAGAACCATTTAGGAGTGCAATTATTTTTATTATAAACTTAGATCACCACTCTGCAACGTGTGATAAATAGCAGCTTTGGTCAGTTTGCACTGAGTTAGTGTTGATTTTAGGTTGAATGTCAAGTCCTTGAACTAGAAACGGGAATGATTAAGTAAACATTCAGTTCATAAGTTATAGAACTTTCTTCTCACTATTAGTATGAATATAACCAAAGACATATTTGTGTCAAATTTATTGTCATGATCTTTGGCTAGAACTGGAGCTTCAATATCCAATATTTGAAGGCCCTTTGACCTGCACAGCTGTATGTTTTTTTCCTATAATAATTAAGAGTTTCTAAGGACTGGACTTCACTAGACAATCATTGGCTCTTGTGGAAGCCTCTTTCTACCACTTGAAAAAAAGCATGTAGTAAGTCATAATCATTTCGTTTCTTGTAATCATTACAGCATATAGTAATAACAATTTCTCACCATTTATGAATCATATGAAATTGTCTCTTAAGATGTTGATAACTCATTAGTGTCTCATAATTTTGAGATGCCAAGTCTATATTGAGTAATGCTAAGAACTTTTTGGGCTATTAAGTTACAATCATGAGAAACTTTACTAAATGGCCTGCTGATTTTGCAACCATCAAAGATGATGTATATGAAAAATGCATTTATATTTCTGACTGGTCTGTGGCGATCAGGCTATAGCTAAAGGTCTACCTTCTTTTCCAGATAGTGTTCTATGAGGGGAAGTGTTTCACAGGCAGAAAGTTGGAGGTGTTTGGAGAATGTGATAACTTCCAAGACCGCGGCCTGCTGAACAGGGTCAACTCCATCCGTGTGGAGAGTGGAGCCTGGGTCTGCTTTGACCACCCAGACTTCAAAGGTCAGCAGTACATGCTGGAGAGAGGAGAGTACCCAGAGTTCCAGCGCTGGAACGCCCTCAACGATCACATGGGCTCCTGCAAGCCAATCAAAATGGTGAGAGGTGCAAGAGCATCAGTTAGAGAGGCTATCCAACTCTTATTGAAATCATTACTTGGTTGTTTGGTATTATGTAGATTTTTTGTTAATAATTTTTAATCTAATAATCTTTTTTTCTTTAATACTTTTCATTTTAGTTACAAACGCCAAGCCAAAACATGGTTTGAATATGAAAAATATTTTAACCTCTTAAAACTAAGGGCCATTATGTAGGCCTACACTTGAGTTCTTCACTCTCATAACTTACATATTAGTTTCATATTAGTTGCCAAATAAATTCATAGTAGTTACTGAATAATATGCCTTAATGCTAGCAACTGAATTATAAGCCTAGGAGTTAATAAAACAACAGCAACAATATAGTAAAAATTGTGTTTTTGTGTTTTTCTTTGCTCTGTCTCTCTCTCCCAGCATGGAGAACACTACAGAATACAGTTGTATGATGGTCCAGACTTTACCGGTCAGTGTGTGGAGCTGTGTGAGGACTGTCCCTTCCTCCAGAGCACCGGCCTCAGCAAGACCTGCGTCAACTCCATTAAGGTCTATGGAGATGGAGCGTAAGTGTCAGGATGCTAATGATGTGCACAGCTCCTGTCAGACAGGGTAGAAAATGGAGTTGTGGTCACCTAGAATAGTGGTGGGGAACTCCAGGGCTGGAACAGAGAACTGAGGGTGGGTCATTCTTTCCTAGCATCCTTGTACCAGGATGGACAAAATCCCTTTTAACCTAAATAGAAATGGCTCTGATCTTTGCTTAGAGGGGCTACGTAATGTTGAGTTTCTAGATTAAAAAGCCACATTACAGACCCCTAAGTTGGCATTGTGAACATATTAGGAACTCCTGGTCTAATCTGTTTTTCTGAATGACAGAATTAAATGGCATTTTTTTGAAAATCACTGCCGTTGCGGCCTGTGGTAAAGTCAAGTGCTCCAACACCAAAATGTTTTTGCCCTGTATAAATTTTCCCCCCAAGTGTCACTGGATTCTCTGAATTATGAGGTTGTTTAGCAGTCGAAATAAAAATAAAGCTGCATAGACAATACCAACAAGCTAACACTGCGTACTGAAGTGATATTGCATGAAAGTAAGTCTACCATTAAAGGTGCAGTGTATAAAGTTTAGTGACATCTAGCAGTGATTACAGATCACCTGTAACGTTACATCACAAGAGCCTCTGGGTAGCATTAGTGTAGCATCTCAGATGGAGAAAATTCACTATGATTTCTTATTATTGTTATCTTATTCTTTGATGACAAAGATTCACTCTCCATTGCTTTTTTGTGCTAAATAATAAGTATGATCCTCCATTTGTCAAAATTAGGGTTCTCAAACTTCTCTCAACACAAAATGGTTAGCCAGCACCGGCAGCAACCAGTTTCTTCTTTCTATGTCTTTCAACTGGTGCTGCAGCACCACCAAATTCAAGCTGCTCCTTAAATGTAAAAACATGAAAGGCACTCTATAGAGCCAGTGTCTGCTTTGTCTGTTCTGGGCTACTGTACAAACATGGCAGCGCATCATGGGAGCCTCTGTTGGAAGAGGACCTGCTACTATGTAAAAATGAAGGGCTCATTCTAAGCTAACGAAAATGCAGGGATTCATAGTTACAGGTGTTTCTTCACTAATGAAAACATGGTACACACTGAAGCTTTAAACTGTAACCCTATTATATAGCATCATCTTCTCAAACTGCCTAAAGCTGCCAAAACCCCTAAACTGCCGCATTTGACAAAGCTATCAAATTTGTTATGGGGTATTTTGGTGAGGTTTTCAGTGTTATGATGTCAGTTCAGTGTGCTGCAGTGTTAGCTTGCATATAGCAATATTTGTATTTTGGCTCCTTGCCGATCTTGTTACTCAGAGGTTTCAGAGAAGTTCAAAGGGAAAATGTCTGCATAGCATTTACCACATGACACAACAGCAGCGATTTTCCAAAACAGTATTCATTTCTGTCATGGAAAAAAAACACATTAGACCTGAACTTCCTCATAAGGGCGTGACACCGACTACAGAATGACACCATGATTTCAGCATTCAATGGACAATGCTGTAGCAAATTGAAACAAGGCAGTTGCTTGAAAAAACACCAAGTTAGTCACCATGCTAGACATATAACCCATATGACTATCATGGTGCTATTTTTGCCAAATGCCCAGCCTTTCACAGGAAGGGGTTTTTGGCTGACATGTAAAATTATCAACCACAGTCCTTAGTTTTAATGTGGTGACAGGCGACTCACAAAACTAGGCTTAAAGTTCATATAAAAAACTCTGTTAACTGAGCTGCCATCTTGACAACATCACTAGGCAGTTATTTCCTGTCTTTAAATGGGGAGAGAGCTCTAAACCCAACATTGAAAGCCATATTATTGTTTCAAAAACATATTTGAGATCACTAGTAAATCAGGCAAGCATCTGATAAATAGATTGTAGTGTTTAGCTCAAAAAGCTCATTAAGTTTGTGTAATCTACCGCTTCGTGGCTGAGCTGTTGTTACTTCAAGATGCTTCCATTTCACAGTAATAGCACTTACAGTTGATCAGGGCAGATCTAGCAGGACAGTATTTTCATTAACTGACTTTGTGCCACTGACAGTGCCACGTTTAAAGTCACTGAGCTCTTCAGTACCATCCATTTTACTCCCAATGTTTGTCTAAAGAGATTGCATGGCTATATGCTTGATTTCATACACCTGTTAGCAATGAGTGTGGCTGAAACACCTGATCTTAATAATTAGGTCCATACTTTTGGTCATGTGGTGTATATGAGTTAAGAGTTTTGCAAAAAATTAAAACTACAGTGTCTTTTTCAGATCCAATTGGTGAGTGCCAATACATGCAGGAAGAAGCTTGTTTATGTTAGAATCGTGACTGATTAGCATTGCAAGATTAGCCTCAAAACTACAGTCTAACTTGCTGTTTGTCTTTAGCTGGGTGCTGTACGAGGAGCCGAACTACCGCGGGCGCATGTACATCGTGGAGAGAGGAAGCTTCTGCAGCCACATGGAATGGCAGGCTGAAAACCCCAACATCCAGTCCATCCGCAGAGTGGCCAACTACTTCTAAATCTTCAGAACATGGCCAATCAGCCTGGCGTTTGACCCCAGCTAAATCTGAACAGATCCAGCGAGCAACAGCTGCATGCTCCATACCATGCAACAAATACAGCCTCATCAAATATGGGCACAAACATGGTTAAAGTAAACTTTAATCTCCTTGAAATAAAGTTGTAAAATAATGAAATTAGCTAAGGACTGCTCTGTCTAATGCTTGTGTGTTTGAAAGAGGTTGAATAAAAGAGTTTAAGGGTTACTTCTCAAACAAAATGCTCTTCGAAAAGCACAATTCAGAGACTTGCTTTTGGTCTACTGTATCCTGCGTTTTGTACTCATATCCTGAACATTTGTCAAAGTTCCTCATTAGATGACATTTTCTTCCTTTTTTGACGTTCATGGCTGATATGCTTCTCTAACATTGACAGGCATCTCCTGTAAGACTGGCATTGAGCAACAGTTACAACTGATAAGCTTTAACACTGTTAGCCAGACCTTTGCTTGGCCTTATCTCAGAGTCTGTAGTCATGGATTACATTATAGTTCTGTAGGTTTATCATATTCACTATACCATCATACTAACATTTGTCAGCGGATGCATTTCCGTACCATATCTCGACCTCTTCCTTGAACAAACATTGAATCATTGGCCATTATGGTCCTTTATACAACACTCAATGCAGAGGCTTAATGCCCAAGGGTGTGTTAAGAACACTGACCCAGCTGTTATATAACCAACTTACATTCAGTCAACATTATGTGGCGGCAGTATTCTAAAGTCCATATGAAGGCCTCTCTAAAGACAGAATAGTAGCGAGGTCATTTGACCTGTCCATGCACTGGCCACAGTTGCTTCTTTTGTAGCAACATTTGCTAGGGTGGACAAGCTTTTTCTTTTTCCTATACATTAACTAGCAGGGTCACACTTAGCATCAAAATTTTCATAAGGTCCATTTTGCAAAGAAGTGACCTACCACACGCAGCTAAATATGTGTATTACCCCAACTGTCAGTTTCTTCTTTAGTTTTTTTTAACTAAATCAACCCGTCAGTAATTCTTACGTACCTTTTCCTTTCATCCATTCCTTTTCCATTCCTCCAGTTATCATAAACAGCTGTTTACCAAACTCCAGTCACTTTGTTTATATTTATTTAAGTACTTATTTAACTGTTTATTTATCCATTTATTTCCAGCTAAAAATATGTGCTGAGGTGGCCTATACATGCACTCTTAAAAAAGATGGTTCTTCAAGAATTCTTTAGTAAAAAAAAAGTTCTGTATAGAACCATGAACCCTCACAGAACCAGTTGCATGAAAAACGTGTTCTTTGCATCGTGAATGGGTTCTTCAGATTGATGGAGAATGTGCAGTAAATGGCTCATTATGAAACCTTTTTGAAAAGGGTTCTATATAGCACCAAAAAAGGGTTCTGCGTTTATTATGAAGTCAAGCTTGTGTCAATAGAAGAACGCTTTTGGGTGCTATATAGAACCCTTTTCAAAAAGACTCTATATAGAACCATCTACAGCAAACTCTATCTATCTGAAGAAATCTTTCACGATGCAAAGAACCCTTTAATCATGCAAAAGCGTTTTTTGAGTGTTCATGGTTCTGCAAAAGAACCATTTTCTTTACTAAAGAACCCTTGAAGAACCATCATTTTTAAGTGTGTACTAAATCAGTTGATAGTTTCATTGATTTTGCTTTATTTGCCCCTCTCTGTCTTTCAGTTTCTGTGCCTGTCTCTTTTGCTCTCTTCCTTCTCAGTCCTCACGGATTTCTAAAAAACAAATATTAAAAATATTTATAGAAGCATCTCTCTATCAAACTCCAGCTAATGGGAAGGAAGAAGCTTGCAGTTAACCAGACATAATACAGCCAAATGTACCTGCTGATTTCTGAATTACATTGCATGATGCTGTGCCATCAATATGCTAGTTAACAGTGAACTTTCTCGTGCCAGTTGTAGTATGTTATAAGTAACACAATACAAGTTTGAACTACCATTAATTTCTAATATAGCCAACTACAGAGCCTGCAGCCTAAACTGAGCAGCTCCTGAAGCAGGCTAAAGCATACTGGTTTAGCTTGCCACATTATGAGTGCTCCAAATAAAAAACACTTTAATAGGTTTGCATTTCACAGGAATAGACTGTTAATCACCCTCATGAACTCTCACATGTTATCAGAGCTATGTTGTATGTTAGCCTACAGTAAGTGTGTTGCAAACCTGTAACGTTACATCTCGAAAGTCAAAGCTGCTCTGGGTAGCGTAAGCGTAGCATTTTGAACACAGAAAAACAAAGCAGGAAGACAAGTCTGCGTTTTCATATGGGCCCTTTATAGAAAACACTAAATGTTTTTAAGGATCGATTCTCAAAATGGAATGTTAGGAATGGAAATATTGGTACTGCAGTATTCATGAACCTGTCTCTACAGAACATTGGCAAAAATCTCTTTCAATTTTGTGTTATTAATTTTATATGTAATTTATTTTGTATGCATGTAAAAGGTCATTTTAATACTTCTAGATGTGTTTTTTTTCGGTTGCATAATCAGGATAACAGGCTTCATTCACCAGTCGTTCTTAAGGAGAAATTTCTTCTTAGAACCCACTTACGCAGTTTTCATGAAGATTCTGACATTCACCGGTGTTGTCTTATTTGGGATTTGTTCTTAGATAAGAACAGAATCTACAAACACTCAAGAGCACAAAGGTGCCAACAACTCTGCGGTTTAAGACCACGTCATGAATCTGAGGTAGACTTTTTCTTAGGACCTTTCTCAAGAACAAATTTAAGAAAAAACTTAGGAAGATATTGGTGAAAAGGGCCCAATGTTAGCATGGTGGCAAATTTGTTGTCATTCCCAATCTAACTGGTTTTGGTAACCTACAACAACAGAGTCCAGCTTGGTAGCATTTTAAATTTAAAACTCATTACATAATGCTGCTAAACTCCAACTTAATCTATTTAAACTGGATTTAAATGCGATTTCTGCAATGTTCCACACAGCTTGGGGTGATGTAAAACAACACTGTTGACAAAGTGGTCTTCATTGGCCTACTGTGGTTCAGTTCACTGCCTGGGCAAGCACAGTACACTATGTCAAATAAAAGTCCTTGGGCAAGACTCCTAACAATACATTCCCTCTGTAACATGATTAAATTGTAAGTCCCTCTGGAGAAGTGTGTCTGCCAAATGCTATAAATGCGCAACACTTGCCATGAAGGAAAGCGATTGTGAGTGGACTGTTTCATTTAAGCCTACTGATCAACATGTCGTAGGTGAATGTTGATTTGAATTTGATTAAAAGTGTGACTTTGCCAGTAAAACAATAACATTGGACCACATTTAATTTAATATTAATATTAGCATTAATTTAATAAAAAGTAGCAAGTTTTCAGTAAAGTGATTGATATGTTGGGATCTGCTTAGAAGAACACAAGTTTGGTTCCTTGGTTCTCTTTGCTCTCCAGCCACTGCATTGTTCAGTCAACTCCTGAGTTGTTTGTACCATTTATGAAAATTAGCTAAAATCAATATATTAAATAAACCACATATGCAATGATGTACTATTTTGGGCTTAACCAAATGATTAAACTGCACATTACTATTTTCATAAAATATGTGTTTTAGAATAAAAAGGGTTTTTTTAAGTATTGGCACCCAGCTTATTTATATTTAGTGGTGCCTCCCTTCACAAGAAAAACAGCACTGAGCCACTGTCTATAATGCTTAACAAGGCTGGAGAGCATTTGTTTAGGGATCTTGGACCACTCTTCCATGCAGAATATTTCCAGTTCCTTGATATTGTTGGATTTTTTGCTTCGCTTATGGACTGTCCTCTTTAATACATGCCACAGGTTTTCAAGTGGGTTCAAATCTGGAGACTGAGAGGGCCACTGCAAAACTACGGTTTTGTGTTCCTGCAACCTTTTCTGTGTGGACTTTGATGTGTGTTTGGGGTCATTATCTTACTGAAAGTTCCAGCATTGCACTTTGTGGTTCGTTCTTAGGAAAAGCTTCTTTCATGGAACTCTTCTGGTGATGAAGGAGGCATCTGAGAGTCCACCCATGACCAAGTTCCAACCTGATGACAGAGTCAGACACATTATACCATTTATTTTCACAAGATCCCCTTGACCACTAGCAGTAAAACAGCCTCAAAGCGTCAGTGATCCACCACCATATTTGACAGTGGGTTTCAGGTGCTTTTCGTTTTTCACCACACGTGACAATGGTGATCATCACCAAAAAGTTCAATTTTGGTCTCATTTGATCACATCACATGATTCCATTTGTAGTTCCAATAACATTTTGCGAAGTTCAGCACTGCACTTTGTGGTTTGTTCTTTGGAAAAGCTTCTTTCATGGAACTCTTTCAAACATTTTCTGGTGATGAAGGAGGCATCTGAGAGTGGATTTAGAAACGTGAACTAAAGTTGAAGGTTGAACTAAGATTCAACTGAACAGTGCAGTTCTGAAGCTGTGGAATGGTAATTTCATCTGACTGCTAATTTCTTTTTACCTGTGCAGGTCCACAACCTTCAGTCTCATTTGAGTTGGCAGTTCTTTGGATTTCCCATGTTAATGGATGACAAAGAGATTTTACATGTGCAACCTCATATTTATACCACAGGGAAACAGGAAACAGTGTCTGGCGACTAGGACCAATAAAAAGGAAGGTGCAAATTTATTTATTCTTTAGGTGTGCCAATAATTTAGCCAATAGTTTTTTGAATACATTATTCAAACATTGAATGCATTGACTTGCACTCAATAATTTGATCATAATCGTAAACAACACACTGCAATTTCTTAGATTGGAGTAAGGTCTAGAAATTTGATTAAGAAATCTGATAAAGAGAGCTGGATTTTAGCTCAATAATCAGATTTCTCAGTGCATGTAAACTCTTACTCGGATTTCTTTTGGATTTTTTTTCAGTCTGCGCATGTGTGAAAACAGACCACGGTACCGGAAATAAGCAAGCAGCGCTGCCGCAAGATGGCAGCAAAACACTTTAGGAGTGACGCTGAAACCAACTACCTGCTTGACGAAATGAAGGATTTAAACATTCCTCATCTTCTAGATGATGTTTGTTCATATTTTCAGGTAAAGTGGCGCAATATTTTAAAAAAAAGCCGCAACATGAAGTTTGAGTTGTGTGTTACATTTACATCACGTCTTCTTCTGTAAGTTTATTGGCTGGTTTCAAAGCAGAAATTTGATTACTGCCTGAATCATGTAAACCCGGAGTTTTCCCATTATCTCATTACCCAAGTGCATGTAAACACATTGATCCGATTACTGACAAAATCTGATTTTCTGCAGTTATCAGACTATTAAGTGCATGTAAATGCACTCATTGTAAGGATCATCTGAAGCATTACATGTAGGCTTAGTTTATATAATAGTTTTTGCCCAGTTTCTAAAGGGCTGCCCATAATTCTGGAGTTTTCTGTATTTGTTCAATTATTTCACCAGGACTCCTGATTTAGTTTAAGGAATGACTGGGTAGTCAAACTACGTACTGAATGGTAACTGTAAGTCTATCACATTTGTATTTATTCATATTTATTCTAATGTTAGTATTTATTCTGAGCTAATCCACACTAACAGTCCAGATAACTAGCTTTGCATGTCATCATCCCAGATGACCAAAGACTTTTGCATAGTGACGAATGTCAAGACACATTTTAACTTAATCATAATGTTAGTAAATGTAATTTGTTAGCCCTGCAGTTCACTTTTCACTATTTCCCTCATTCAGAATCTGTGCTAAGCTCAGAGGTAAAGACATGACTCCTGTGTTCGCTCCTTGGTGAGAAAACAGGGAGAGGCTTTGTGTTAGTGAGGATAAGAGAAGGAATATGTTAGATTTGTGTGTGACAGCTGAGCATGCGGGGGTCCTGGGGGGAGAATGGCCCTCTCCTCTGAAGTTTTGTCAGCGAGGGGCTGAGGGACAAAGCCATGACCTTCAGGGTCAGTCCATGCTGGGCCTTCTCTTGGCCTTTGTGGTGCTAATAGTGAGGCTACTCAAAGACAACAGGGAGAGTGGGCAGGAAAGAGGAAGAGAAGAAACAGTCCACATGCAGCGCTACACTGCTGATTCACCAGGATTTTTAAAGGAAATGTGCAAACACTGTGCTTTCTAAAATAAGATATATACTGTTTGTTGAATACATAACACATAAAATAAATACCAAAATATTTGTAATTTTGTAATTTTTATTTTCATGTTGATACATTTTTCTAGTTTTAAATAAAGTATTAATTTTGTAATTGTATTCAGTACATTAGTAATGCTTGGTTTAGTAAAACTACAATAGGAAAAGAATATGTACTGTTATTTTTAATTTAATTAACTATTTTTTAAAGGTATTTGCTGGGCTTATTGTAACAAAACACAAGATATGTTCCATGTATTTTAATACAGTTTTCAGGTAATACTAGGCCTGGCATTCACTAAAAAATAAGACATGTAAGCAATGCCGGTCTAAAAAATCCTATTTTAATTTTTTTTTTCTCAAATTTTGTAATGGTTAAATCTTTCATAGACGATTATGTGCTCTAGTTTTTAAGATTAAACAGTAGTACATTTCTGTGTGTGTGTGTTTTAAGGCAGTTAAGGTAATTCAAGGTTATAATACTGGGTTTTTATTTAAAAAGAAGTTTGCATTTAATTTCTGATATTGTTTATTATATAAAAATGAAAAATTATTCTTCTTGATTTTTAATAGGAAACAAGTAATGTAGTGCTGGGTTGTTATGTACTTAAATGAATTCTTGTATTCTTGTATTCCTTGTATTTACAAAAGCAAATGTTTTTATAGTAATTAAGAAACACTTTTCTTGTATTTCTAGTAAGGCAGTTAGATAATGAAAGATTATGATTTAAAGAATTTTCTTGCTTTTTTGTAATTATTTTAAAAATGATTTCCATAGGTTTTTAATAAAGCAGTGTGGTAAAGTTGGGTTTGTTATTTTAAAAATGTATATGAATTTTATGGTTTTTAATAAATGGGTTTGGTCCTGTTGGGTTTGTTATTTAATAGTATGTATATGAATTTTATGGTTTTTAATAAATGGGTTTGGTCCTGTTGGGTGTGTTATTTAATAATATGTATATGAATTGTATGGTTTTTAATAAATGGGTTTGGTCCTGTTGGGTGTGTTATTTAATTGAGAGAATTCCGTGTTTTTTATTGGTCAGCCTGTAGGAACATCCGGGTCTCTCCGCTACTCCTCTCTCCATTCAGAAGCCATTTTGGCCGCGGTTCAGTTTTTCCCATGTCAACTCCTCTAGCAGCCTGGGGGGAACTGGGGGGAAAACAAGGACACTGTTCGGACTCAGGCTGGAGATAAAACACGCTGCTCTACAACAAGGACTTACTGGGGTCCCGTCGATATGAAACCCTGTGTCTGTGTGGATTTACACTTTGTTTTTGGCGGAATCAGAGTGCCGGAGCGGCGCTGTTGACAAACTGGTTGTTATTGTGGCGCTGAGTCGAGTCGAGGCCGAGGGCCGTTTGATAACGGTAGTTAGCATTCACATGTGTTTCGGCTCGTTTTGTTTTTCTTCGTAAATGCTTTCCAAAGGAGAACGGCATAAAGGACAGTGTCTTGCTCGGGTCTCCCTCGCTGAAGGACTATGTTTGCTCGCTGGCTGACGCTTGCACTTATTCGGGGAAGTTTGTTGGCAGGTAAGAGCTCAGCTGGGAGTGATTTGTAAGGAACAGTTAACGCAGGACACAACACGAATAACAGATTATTTTCAGTGCTGGTGCTTCTCAATATAAAGCAGCAACGCTTGTTTGGACGAAACCAGAAACTAAGGTAAAGTGAAACATGTGACTGAAAATAGACTCCTCGCACCAACATTTGGTCCAGTGTTTTTGTTTCCCCTGCTCTACACACTGACACTGACCCGTGTTCAGTGCCCTTTCCTTCTTTGGCCGCTTATTGTTGTATTGTGTTGTTGTTGTTTCTTTTTTTTTTTGGTGTTTATGTTGAGATATTCAGGTTTGGTTTAACTCAGCTGAAGTAGTCTGTCGTGCGCTTTCATACTATTGGAGCAACCACTGTGAAAAACACAGAGGCTACGCACAAAGGAAAGAGTTGTGAGATGTCATCAACAGCTGCTTTGAACCCTTACAGCGCCGCGGTCAGCTGGGGGCGCTGTAGGGTTCAGCGTGTTTTGAAGTGAGGCAGGCTTTGTGCAGACCTTGTGAGCTAGCTACACTTTCTTGAAAACCCATCAAGGGTTCGGGAGTTTTTTTTAAATAAAATCTGCATTTTCCGTTTTGCTTGTTTTTGTTTTATTACGTAAATTAAAGAACTCCGTTAACAAATTTAGGATTTCTGAAAAGCTTCTCTGTGAAAGTGTTTCTAGGCCTGTTGTGAACAGCACCGTACAAATAACACTGATTTATTAGATTGACTTTTTGCAGTGACGCTTTTGTTTTTGCCTTACAGACTGTTGGGTTTGGAATACATGACACAAATCAGTTCATATTCATATGTGAAATGTTAAATGTCCTTTGGCTCACATGTTCCCTGAGCTTGCCTGAGCGGAAAGCTGAAGAAATTCTCAATTCAGACCTATTATTCAAATAATATGGTTTTAAAAAGTGAGTTTTTATCACTTAATTTATTATATTTCTCTAGTGTTTTGGTTATATGGAACTAGTATACTCAAATATGGATTTGCGTAAAACTATGACAAGTAAAAAAAAAACAAAAAACATTTGCATAGGGTAAATTTTAGATGTTTATCTATGGAATAACTAGAGGTGGGCGATAGGGCAAAAACATTGTGATGCTTCAAGAAATTTTTATGCTGTTTGACATGTCACATCACAAAATGTGTATTTTTTTTCAGATATCTGCTCAGTTGGAACAGAGAAAGAAAGAACCAGTAGTGCTCGATATAAAAAATCATATCAAAATCAGTTCACATACAGTTTTGCCCTGAATCCAGTTAAAGTGGACAGATTTTGCTCTCTTTATAATCAAGCATGCTGTTAGTCCGTGTTGTCAGTACTGACGACTGTTCAGAAAGGCAAATTGTATTGTATCGTGACATGATAACAATAAATATTGTCAGATTGCGCAGCCCTAGGCATAACTGCAAAATTTCATCTCTTTAGTCCAAGCAGAATAAGTTCTATGGCATGCTTAGCATATGAAATTTAGTTGTTGGACATGAATGGGTCAGTGCATTTAGAAATCTGAGACTGACTCTGGCTAAGAGTTGAGGTAGATGTCTGAATTCTTATGGACATTGTCTGCACATCAGTCTCAGGTTGTTCAGACATGGCTGTGTGGTAGCCAGTAGAGTAGAGCTCATGTAATTCATGTTGGCATCTGCTAAGGTTGAATGTATCCTAATTGAGCTTCCTGCTGAAATCCTAGTGAGATTTTTCTGTTGTGAAGGCTCCACTTTTGTTGAGCAATGATTTGAGCTCTTCGATTTGGTTTCATAGTTAATCAGTTGTTTTATGTTATTGTCAAACACAACAGACACTTTGTAAACGTAATCCCCAAATCTTATGCTTTGTAATCGACTCTGGAACCTGCTTCCTGCGTATGAGAGAAAGTGGGGAAATCCCTTCAAAACAAAAGAGCTTTTGACACCCTGTGCAGCAGCGGCTCTACGTCAGCTGGGATGTGGTGAGGTAATCTGGATCAGGGGACTGTAATGTGTGGGACTCCACAGGGGAGCTGAAACTTGCATATAAAGCCCCCACACCCTCTCTCTTTTGTGTGTGCATGAGAGAGAAAGATAATTGGGAAGGGTGGGGGTTGTGGCCTGGGGCTGATGTTGTAATTTGCTCTTACGATGTGACGACCTTTATCGGTAACAGGGGCAGTAGAGCAGAGTGCGTCTGAAGTGGGGTAGTAGTGTTGTATGATATGGACAAAATAGTAGTATTGTGATTTTGTCCCTTCGTATTATGATGCCTTTCAATAGATTAAAAAGCAGTTTAGTGAAATGCTGATGTGATGTGGTCAAATACTGACCTGCAATATTTTTACCAAAATTATTTCCATATGTTGGATCAAGTGAATGCCCTGATTCGTTAAAACATCCACAGAAACACAGATCAAAGAATGTCTGAGATTGTTGGGAATGCTCAGAGTACAGAACTTACAAGCAAAAAATTCTGCAGTTGGTTTGAAGGCTCATTTGCACATTGCAGGCTTCTGTAATATTAGTGTTGCAAAGGCTCAGGTCACAATGAGAGTTAACAAGCAATATCTTCAGCTTTTAAAATGAACTAATATATGAATGATGTCATAACAAAACTATGTCAAATAATTTATATTATTAAAAAGAAAAACATTTGAAAATCCTGGCTGCTAGGTATGTGCACGGGTGCTTGGTTAATCGTTCTAGGTGCCAGTATTCGGCTATTTGTTTCGTTTTATAATGGGAAGATGGAGAAATTAGAAAGACCACCAGTTTAGTGAAAGGCCAGTTTTACATTTTAACAGGGGTAACGTGGCAGGTTTGCTTGTATTTGCGTGTACATTATTTAATATTTTGCTGCTACAAAACATGAGTGCGTATGAGGCTTTATCGCAAACTTGGCTGATTACTCTAGATATTAGCAAGGTCTAAAAATAGTAAGTGTATTTCTCTGACCAGTTTACATGTTGGCAGGTCGTCCACTGAGGAGAAAAGACCATGTGTAGAAGAGAACGAGTCTCCATTATTCAACGTTATACTGGTTATCTAGTGTTCCTCATTAGCTCATCTGAAGAGGCAGCAGCTTTGTTACTCATGCAGTGTGAAAACCTGCTGATTTCCCTCAGCTGTTATAAATAATGAAACAAATGTATTTCAGTGTGTTTCTGCAGCACCTGTACAGCCATATATTGCTGTCGGCTGTTGAGAATTTCTATATGTATCCAGTATATGCAGCAGTATAGCAGTCTGTAGTAATGGGCTCACCACAGTCTTCCTATCTTTCAAGAAGTGTGTGTGTGTGTGTGTGTGTGTGTGTGTGTGTGTGTGTGGTGAAAGGGGGGATGAAAAGGGGGGATAGGTGGTTAGTGGTAGATAGATTACCACTGTGGGGGATGGTACAACCCTTGGCTATACATGAGATTTAAAGAGACAGAGCATATTTTTCTAAAGATTTAAATGTGCCTAAAACGATTGAACCAGTGTTTTTTCCTCTTTATTACAACTTTACGTCTCTGTGACATCATAATCTTCTGAAACATTCCGTTTAATCTGAAGATTCTTTCTGTTCTCTCCTTTAGCAGTTCACCCGACGTAAACATGATCCGTGACCCAATTCTGCATGTGTGTTTCTGTGTGTGTGTGTGTGTGGGGGGGGGGTGATCAAACTGTAGCATGCTGTTACTTAGAGGCCTTAGAGGCTTCCCTACTGACTCCTCACACATCTGGATTTAATTGTGGGTTTTAAAGAGCTCCATATTGATATTCTAGGCCACTTTCTTAACTCAAACCTGAAGGGTCACATGTGGTTCTTGGTGTATGTTGAGCATATGTGCTTATGTTATTTTACTGCCAGCAAGGATTTAATGACTTGTTAAACAACCCTTGAGGTTTTACTGAAATGGTTCTTGATGTTTTAGCAGCCCCACAACAGCACATGATTGACAGTTAGCACTTGACTGTAACATTAAAGTGTCTTATTTGAAACTGTCAACATAATCTGTCAGATTTTACACCGACCCTTTGATGTGTACAGTATTGTATTTCATGTTTGTGGGTGACTGCTACCCTTCCAAAGATATGCTGTATAAATAAGTGCTATTTTAGTCAATAAAACTTATGCAGTAAAGTTTCAGACATTATAAACTACACATAGAGGTATTTTTAGATGATGTATTAATGTTTTCTTTGTTTTTAGGGACAAGTTATGATAAGCTGTAATGATGAATCATCTGTTTTAACTGGTGTGTTGGCAAGTTATTGCCTTTCGGTTTCATCACCACTTTTTGAAATATGAAGAATTCTGGATATTAATTCTGTTGTAACTTTACTCTCATTGCTACAGACTTCTCAGTTATTTTAGAATCATGTACAGATCTGATCATTATTCTGGGGAAATATAAAACTTGTTTACAGCTTCCCACAAGTTATTTGAATTCTATGCATTTGTAAACGACTGCTTAAAAGTGTAGCAACCACAGTTACAAGGTACTCTGCAGAAAACCTCAGTTACATGAAAACTATCCCATAGAGAGCTGTAACTACAGTACTCACTACATGGCAAAAGTAGATTGCTACGTTGCAGCCTCTTCATGACTGTCTCTGCGACTAATTGCAATTATATATAAGTATTTGCTGGTTCACTAATTTGTTCTAAATAGTTTCATTTAAATGCATATGTAATTTGTTTACTTACCTTGGAGTACAGGAACAGGTTTTATTGTCAGGACCTCTTTTATTTCCATGTCATCTTCACAAGTCTCTGTTTGATGAGTCTTCTCACCTTCTGCCTGTGATCTGTGTGCTTTGGCCTCTGTCTTTTCAGCTGTACTCTGAAGACCTATTTGTTTGCTCCTTTCTTAAAAATTGGATGCATTGCTCCAAAAATGACTAAGAATTTGACTGTCTTTGCCGTTGAAAACTCCATAGTTGCTGGGCTGGGCTCAAAAGCTTGACAGACGTAGCGACAGTAACCGAGGAGAAGGGCTTGGCAATAGGTCAGCTCAAAGTAAACAATACAGAATACACCTTTATTTATATAAAGACTGGCTAGTCTGAGAATTTTTGCATTTGTCAGCAGTACCTTGCTACTTGTTAGATAAAATAGCTTCGCACCTAAAAAGATACTTCTTTTGGAAAATAGTGACTCTACTTCCACTCTGTAGGGAAATGTAATAATTAAGTTTAATATACTACAAGCCGCAGTGCTACTGTCCAGCACTAATGTTAGCCTCATATTAGACTAGTTTTATACTTGCATCTGCAACGTAATTTTTTATTGTTGAAAACTGTGATTCCAAATTAAATGAACTTCTCTGATGTGAGAGGTTTGTGACTCATTTCATTATCTTCTCATTTGATTTTGATATTGTGTTGAATGTAGCCTTAGTAGCTAATGTGATTCTAATCCATCTCTCTTGTTCCCTCAGGTCCTGGGCATGCAGAAGTGGGCACCAGAGAGTGTGTGTACTATAATGATAACTGGCGAGTGGAGAGGACCAATCAGAGCGGCTATGAGAGATGTGAGGGCGAGAAGGATAAGCGGCAGCATTGCTACGCCTCCTGGCTCAACTCTTCTGGAACCATCCACCTGGTCAAAAAGGGCTGCTGGCTGGATGACTTTAACTGCTACGACAGGTGAGGAGAAACCTCCTTAGAACTTACACCACAGATTTCAGTCATCAATGTCATCAGATTTTGATTGATATTCTAAAGCTCTGTTGAAGCTGTATTAGTTTTAGCTGGGGAGGTTCTGTAATTTAAATGATTACAGATGTCATCAGTGATTTTAATCCAGTATGAATCTGCAGCATGACTAGTCTTTGCAGTGTGATGATGCTAAGTGAGTGACCGGCTGTAATTGGGTGAAGATGGATTTCTCTCAGTAAAAATAGTAATGTTCCAGTCCACCTCAAGCCAGTGCAGCAGTAATACCTGCTTACAGACATGGCTGTGAAGTGTTTTTGTAAACGTAATGTGTACTTCCAGGCCAGAAGAATATATAGGAAATTACCCAGACATTAATTTAGGGCAATTTCATACAAATTGGTTAGTGATATCCTGTTTCCAATACAGTAGCTCCAATGCTAAGTAATCCAGCTCTAATAGTGCTTAAGAGGTTTGTTGCATTTTCACACTATATACAATCCCTAATGAGCCTCTCACGATTCATCTATGATCCATGAACGTCCTCTTTTTATATGTTCTGCTTGCTCCGATTGTCTAATTTTTTTATCCGATTGCGTGTGTGTGTGTGTGTGTGTGTGTGTGTGTGTGTGTGTGTGTGTATCCTTTAAATGTTTTTGAGCAGACAGGAGTGTGTGGCCACAGAGGAAAGTCCTCAGGTCTTTTTCTGCTGCTGTGAGGGAAATTACTGCAATGAAAGATTCACACACCTGCCTGAGACCATCGCTCCAGCAGGTGAGCGCAGATGTTTGTGAAGACACGGCATACTTTTACATAACATTCAGTTCTTCTTTGATTATATATTGATCTGGAATTAAAAAAAAATATTTAAGAATACATTTAAAAATTATTTTAAAAAATTATATTTTTTATCTATAATATTTTTTTAAACCGGATAATCAATTTTACCACCCAGACAACCGATGTCAGGTGGTGCCACCATGCATTAATTAAAAATATTATATTTTGAAGTTATTTAACAGTATTGAAAATGTGTATAAATTAGTCTTTGCACTTGGACACACATATAAACCTTTGTCCTTGAATTAAAAGTTATTAATATATTTTTAAGTATTATTTTTAAGTAAATAAATAATCTTACAATAACGCATGGAGTCACAGCACCTGACTTGGTAAACTGAACCTTTCTAACCATGACTGGAAATTGACAGTTTTTTCAATATATGTGCACGGTTGACTGACATTGCACCATTAAGGCGACTTGGAGTCTTCTTTATGGTGTAATACCCTGTCCACTCTTGCTAAAAAGCACGTCAGCATAAAAGTCATTTGTTGTTGGTTGTGGCGTGTAAAATTTGAGGAAGTCAGATTTTTTTTCTTTCTCTTTTTGCAACATGTTATAGCTAAGTTATTTTATACTTAATTTGCGTATGTGGTCGAACAGTTGCACTACTTGATATTTTTAGACTTTAGGAGACATAAATGCCTAAAATGAATTTTATTTTGATGCACTGAAAATGTATTCCCATGAAGTACGTATTGTAGAATAATGTGATAAGTCATTGTGATAAGTCATGTACGTGTTAAATTATTTGAGGAAAAAAAATAGACTTGGACAAAAAAAGTTCAAGATGTGATTGACTCAAAAACAAATGAACAAACAGTCTGTAATCCTAAGTGAGGGGGGCAAAAAGTTACATTAGTCCTCAACTTCAAAGAAAGTGTCGAAATTAAACACATGACTATGAGTTTAAGGATATTGGCAGTTATTGCAGCACAGTTAATGGTCAGCAATGTCTTAAAACATGTTTTGTTCAATTTTGCCCTTGTGTTCTTTTTTCACCATGCATTGTTTTACCAAGTTATTACTGAAATTAAATGATTTTGAATTTGAGATTGATTAGCAGAAGTGATGGTAAACTCGTTCTCCGTATGTGTTTGTGGCTGCAGTGAAGATCCAGCCTCCACCAACGGGTCCATCTCTGTTGGGGGTGCTAGTTTATTCTCTCCTTCCGCTGGTCGTGCTCTCTCTGGCCCTTGTGCTCGCTTGCTGGACATACCACCAACGCAAACCGCCCTACGGCCATGTGGACATCAGCCAGGTCGGACAGCACCATAACATCAGAGAAATGTCCATCTGTCCCTGTCATTCTTGCTCTTTTTACTGATGTGCAGTAAAATTTTGACATTTTTTAAGTGAATAGGGTTTTATGAAAACTCTTTCTGTCTGCCCTAGTAAGAAGTATTGTTACTAACCTTACCCACGTTTTGCTCTGATAGGATGCGGGTCCTGCTCCTCCGTCTCCTCTGGTGGGTCTAAAGCCACTGCAGTTGCTGGAGCTGAAAGCCAGGGGGCGCTTTGGCTGCGTGTGGAAGGCTCAGCTGCTGAGTGAATATGTAGCAGTCAAGATATTCCCTATTCAGGTCAGCTTCTTAGCCTTTTGAAATCAGATTTTAACCGTCTGAATATCAACATTTCCAAAGTCAGTTTTTTTTTCCATAATTTGAAAATGCCAGCTGCCCTTTGTGTGAAACAAAGAGGGGATGAACCCATAGAAATAGTCCAGAATTCTTTGGAACAAAATCATCTCCGGAATGTTTTTCCTTCCCCTGTGAAGTTGCCATTTTGGAGATGATTTTGTTGTGACAGCAGTATTGTATGTGGGTAAAAGTAAGCACCATTCTTATCTGTGTATTGTGAAAACAAAATCTGTGTTTTTGTGTGCATGCATACAGGATAAGCAGTCATGGCAGAATGAGAGAGATATTTACCTGACAGAGGGATTGAGACACGAGAACCTGCTTCGCTACATCTCAGCTGAGAAACGAGGGACTAACCTGCAAATGGAGCTGTGGCTTATTACTGAGTTCCATGAGAGGGTGAGTTATCGGTTTTATTATTATTATTACTATTAAATAAGTTAAATATTCTTAATATTCTAACAGCAATAATAATATGTGAAATGATTGATAATTTGCCTGGATTTAAAATGAGTTCACTTGCCAGGATATTTTTTGCAGTGTCCATTTATCTGTCAGATGTACTCAGATGAACCTAGCTTGGAGATCAGTGATTGATTTTAGGTACACTCTGATCATGAATTTTTATGGCTGTTCCAATTCCAATTTTTACAGCTGAATTAGCCATGGCCTTCTTTTTCTTCCTCCCTAAAGCTCAGACTGTGTGGACTAAATGAACACTTGAAACACACTATCATATTTTCAGTTCTTTGTATTAGCCAATGTCACAATGTAAATAACATTATTTGCTCTGCAAACTGACCTATTCAATTTATCAGTGGAAGAATCAGCTGCCTATTTAAATAGCATGAATCAAATAAAGTGCTTAATTGAAATTAAAAGGCAACTGGCTGTTTAAGTCAGTCCACTTACTTAACCGACTCAAATTTAAGCAATAAAATTAAAACACAGATTGACCAAAACAAAAATAATAAATTGGCCAGCCGGATGTTTGGAACAAAACTCTCTTCCTTTACCCAAGTGATGTTTGGTGTTTGAAGTTTGAAGTTTGCTTCTTTAGTTCTGCACTAGAACTGTGACGATTATGTGGACTAAGGTAGCCTTGTGCAAACTGCATGCCTAATTCATCACACTCTTGCCTGAAACCACATCAAGTTGATAAGTAATGTCAAATAAACTTGTTTATGTAGTTTCTGACACTGTATGACATACAGTCATCTATAAAAATGGGCAAAAGTACATCACATAGCTAAAATTTGCCATAGCAGACATAGTCATCTATAAAAATGGGCAAAAGTACATCACACAGCTAAAATTTGCCATAGCAGACATAGTCATCTATAAAAATGGGCAAAAGTACATCACATAGCTAAAATTTGCCATAGCAGACATAGTCATCTATAAAAATGGGCAAAAGTACATCACAGCTAAAATTTGTCATTTTTGTTTGTTTGTTTTTCTTCTTCTGAAAGCCTGAATTCTGTTTGTACTCAAATCAGTTGAATACATGTACACAGTGTTCTCTCTCCTTACTTCTGCATTCAGAATTTAACTTCAGAAAGTTCTTTCCACAACTTTTCTGAACTTCTGAACTTTTGAATGTAAAGTTATGAACTCTGTTGCTAAACTGTAACGTGCTGTTGCAATCTGTTGCGAAACTGTACTGTTGTGAATGCTACAGTTGTTTTGCTTGGGAGTGTCAGAGCGCGTCACTACATATACTGAACACTGCTTTTAACGTTCCTTCTTTCTATGAACCCAAGAGACCCTCCTTGTTAAATCAATAAGTGAAATGGTTGCAGATGGTACAGTGATTTTCATAAGAGAGCCTGGGGTTGTTTTTCCTGTATCTGTAAGGATTTCTGGTGGTGAAATTCTTGATGTAATGTTGGGCTATGTTTGCATGTGCATTTGTTTTTTAGGGCTCTCTGACAGATTACCTGAAGGGGAATGTAGTGAACTGGGCTGAGCTGTGCCACATTGCTGAGAGCATGGCCAGAGGCTTGGCTTACCTACATGAGGACCTGTCCTACAGGCTGGAGGGACCTAAGCCTGCCATTGCTCACAGGTACCCAGCTAAACTCTTTCTGGGATGCTAACCAGACGGATAGATGGTAGCGTGGCTTTTATAGCAGGCAGCAGAATTTAAAAGTGATGTTTTTAATATAAACCCTTGTTTGGCTTCAGGGCCTGAGTGTGATCTCTTCTTCTCCACTGCAGGGACTTTAAGAGTAAGAATGTGCTGCTCAGGACAGATTTGACTGCTGTGATAGCAGATTTTGGTCTGGCTGTGCGCTTTGAACCAGGGAAGCCACCAGGAGATACTCATGGCCAGGTAAAACTGTGAAGTACAACATGCTGCAACCCTGTATCACAATCAAAATATAAAATAATAGCACTGTCAGAGCTCTTTTTCTTGTTAATGAACTATAGTTCTATTCAACACCTACTGTTTATATTCCATTGCTCGAATCCTCTGAGTTTAAAATTACTGTTTCAAGCTTTTCAGAGTGACTTGCACTGTGCACACCATATTTTAGCATGTTTTTTTTTTTGTTTGTTTGTTTTTCTTCTTCTGATTCAGTAATGCCACTCCTACATGGTACAGTGTAAAAGTAAGAGTTTGGCAAAAAAAGTTTAACATTTTTTTTCTTTATAATATAATGGAAGCTTATAACCACCAATTAGCATTATGTAAACTGCATGTCTAAATCAACACACACTTGTCTCAAAACAACTGGAGTTGTTAGCTAATTTCAAATAGACTTGCTGACACTGTATCACATACTGTTTTCTGGAAAAATGGACAAATCATGTTGCATACCTTAAAACAGCCATTTTGAAGCCTGAATTTTGTCTGTGCTTCTGTTGCTTTAATCTGAACCCATTGTGAAACATAAAATTAAGTGCGCCTTAAAATTTAAAGTCACTTACCAAATGCCTAGATTTGTGGTGTTCCACTTTACCATTCAAAAAAGCAAAACCTACCTGCTGAAGTTAAAATCTGTTTTGTCTCTGCCTTGTTCCAGGTGGGCACTAGGCGCTACATGGCTCCAGAGGTGCTGGAGGGGGCCATTAACTTCCACAGGGATGCATTTCTACGGATCGACATGTACGCTCTGGGGCTGGTGCTGTGGGAGCTGCTGTCTCGCTGCACCGCTGCTGATGGTAAATATTTAGAACACGTGGTTCTGAGGTTTTCAGTCAGAGATCACATAATGATAATCCATCAAAAGATTTCTTATGACTGTCGTAAGAAGAGATTCAAATGGTTTTGAAAACCACAGCTTGTCTTGAGCCAGTTGTTTTATTATTGCGTTTATTCAGTGCCTTTTGGACTCTGCATTCTCCTTTTAGATGGCTTTAATGTGCTGTCTTCTGTCTGTTCTCAGGGCCTGTGGATGAGTACCTGCTCCCCTTTGAGGAGGAAATCGGTCAGCACCCCTCTCTGGAGGACCTGCAAGACGTGGTGGTCCATAAGAAGATGAGGCCCATCCTGAAGGACTGTTGGCTCAAACATCCGGTAAGGATGTGGCGTTTAGGCTTTTAAGCTGGTGGGATTTTGTCTTCATAGGCATCAAACAAAGCAATCGGAGCTTGAAAGACTTCTTGTTTCCCACTGCTAAAGCTCTTTTTTTATATACATTCACTGGCAGGGGGTGCAGTCATGCTACTAATTAGCGTTTGATTTTGCAGTTCTGAAAATAGTAGAGATGCATTCTGCTTTTTGTAATGTGTATTGTCAGTTTAGGGCTGCTGGGAAGCATTAGTCATAAGCCACAGTGTTAAAGTTAGGATATTATTTTTGTAAGCAGAACCCAAGTTGTATTACCAGATCTTGCCATCCTTTGTCAAGCTCTGAGCATCAGCTGTTTACTTTTCATGTTGGTGATTTTGTTTACATTAGGGCTGCTTAATAAATTGTTTTTTATCTTTCATTTTTACTATTATCACGATATGAGTTTCCATGATAAACGTATCGTTAAGGGTTGCATTGACAGAACAGATTAAATTTTCTCACACACCATGCCAGAGTGACATTTTTTGGCAGAAACGTGGTGTTAGAATTCCAACATGTGCTCCCCAGTGCTGGCTTTGCATTTAACCATTCTTGTAACAAATTCACTTTTATTACTCTGTGTTGTATGTAAAATACATGTATCGTACGGTAAAATTGTTAAAAAGAAAAGGTACAAAAGCAATACTAATTTATTGTAATGCAATAGTTAAACACAAACTATAAACACAAACATAAAAACTTGTTCACTGAATCATGAATCATGAGTTTTTAGACCAAAGCGCCTCATGGAACTCACACTCACTCACTCATGCATTTCACAGGCTACAAATTCTCCACAAGGGGGCACAGCTGTTAGTATTTCATTATTTTTATTTTGTACAATAGTGAATGGCCTTTTTGTAGTTTTGCAAATTTTTGCTATTTGCTTAAAAAGGTTAGATATAAAAAAAGAGGTTAGATATAAAAAATTCAACACTTCCAGTCAGAGACTGTTTTAATAATAATTTATAATTTATCATCATGATGGGCATAGTGGTATAGTGGCTGAATGCTCTTAATGTATACAAAACCCAATTTGGAATTTTGATTGGTTCATATTCTCTCTCTCGGCTCAGGGTTTGGCTCAGATGTGCGAGACGGTGGAAGAGTGCTGGGACCACGACGCCGAGGCTCGTCTGTCCGCGGGCTGCGTGGAGGAACGCATTGCGACTATCGCCAGGGCCGCCAACACCACTAACACTTCTACCTCTGAGTGCCTGGTCTCCATGGTAACCTCGGACAGTGACTCAGAACTGCCACCCAAAGAGTCCAGCACTTGACTCTCAGCCGCTGAACCAGGAGCGAGACCACTTCACCATGGTTCTGTTTCCATAACGACTGGATGGACATCTTCAAACCTCTCCAATAATAATGTGAACTCTGCTGCTGTCCTGATCTTCATGTATTTTCCTTTGGATGAATTGTGAATGTTTTTTGGACATGTCCGGTCAGTTTTACCAGCCTCACACTACCTGTCTACTGTATTCCTTTATCTGGAAAGCACAAACACGACAAGAAAGCTGACACCTCAAAGGGCATTCAGGTGACCACTTCAAAGTGCTGTAGCATTAGCACACGTTACCTCATCTGTTTTTCATTGTACTCTTAGGATGTTTTAAAGTGAATTTACTTTTTTTTCTAACTTTATCTGCCTTCACTCCACAAATACCTCCATCCAAGGGACTCCGCCTGTGAAAACCACATTGCCCGTCTTAATGCCGCCGTGTTGGATTAGCCAGTGACTTGGCAAAAATGGAGGGGGGAGCTAAAGACTGTTACCTTGTGTTTGAGAGCGTGAGCGTACCTCTCTTTTTACTCAGTGATCTTTTTATATATTTTCTTTTTCTATGTGTCTTTAAGTGTTGTATTGAAGAGTGGAATTTCAGAGACAGAGGTTGTCTGAAACACTGGAATTGTAAGGCAGCAGGACTGTTTTGTTTTCCTTCAGTGTTAGTGTATCAAAAGCTTAAGTCTCGTTTCAGCTTATCCTTCGCTAATCGGGCCGATTTCAACCATACATTCAGATGTTGTGTTGGTGGATCGAATACCATCTACAGATTTATAGGTTGATGAATTGTTTGTGGCACAGAGGAAAAGGCCTTTATGTTCTTAAAATAGTTGCTACATCTTCAGCAAACATGATTTAATTATGCACCCATGCGTGTAGCCCAATAGGGCAGGTCCTCTCAGAGCATACAGGTAATATTTAGTTGTGTTTTGTGGTCAGGTGCTGTCTGTATAAAGAGCAATAGCATTGACACATCAGGATAAATGAGGGTGCTTTTGTTTGGTGTCTGTTACACTACTCAGGTAAATGCTGTTGTGTGTATGTGTGTGTATGTCTGAATAGCTGTTAATCTCACAAGTGTCTGGTGAGCATAACTAGCTTTTAATCTCTCACAGCTCTTAGCAATAGACCTCAGCAGTAGGAATCTTGTCTGTGTGCTCAGATTTCACCTCTATGTCGTATGCAATGACTCTGCCATGTAGCAAAGACTGAATGTCCATCGAGCTGCTGTTGTACTCAGTGAAGGCACTCTTTGTTTATACTCACTGCTCCTTCAGAAACAGCCCGCTCTATGGGATAAGTGGTTAGATTACTTTGATTTGAGCGGTGTTGAGTGACGATTGGCTTACCCAGGCTCCGCCCACCAAAGGTGACAAGCTTTACAGAACTCCAGGAAACAGTCCAGTGAAGCCTAAGGAGTTTAGGTTGGAGTTCATGCTACATAACATTGAGTTTTTAGTCTAAACATGATACTGAACTGGACTGTGTAGTACAAGTTTGCCACCACCCTAACTTGAGCTGGATTACACAACCACCCCTCACCTACCCTAAGAGTGCGAGTATTCAAAAATATTCAAAATTAGTGTTATCTAATGTTCTAAATTTGCATATTTTGACAGACTGAGTGCTGACGCGCCCATTAGGTTGCCACTTCTCTGTAAAGCTTGTTCAACCTAGCAGCAGTTGCTACAAAGACATTAGTGGGCGGAGCATAGATAGATCAATGAAAATGAATGGACAGAGATGCTGATTTCAGTCAAATAGAACAACTTCAACCTCATAATGTACCACTGTTTTTATTTTGTTTTTGTTTTTTTCTCAACTTAATATTTTATTGTTTTGTGGTAGAAATGTAATTTAATGTATGGCTGCTTTTATATGATTGAGATTTCTTCATCTTTTAAGAAAGTGCTTTGATTTTCTTTTTGTGCTCATGATGTACCCAGTGTAAAGACAAGACGTCTGTGTTTTTGTGCATAATGAGTCGTCATGCAGTAGCAGTTACGTTTTCTCATATTATTGTTACTTTTTATTCTATAAAAGGTGTAACCTACCTCATTGTAGCCACTCTGGAATAATGGTGACCTTTCCAAACCCCCTTTTCTCTTTTTCAGCTGTGTTTTGATCGTATTTATGTGCTGTTATTATATCTGTGTATACGATAGCATCGTCCCCAACCTCTACCTGAGCCAATTCAATACTCCTTTCGATTTCTGTTGACATCAGGGATTTGAATTTCAATTTATGAAGTACCACAGTTGTATGCAGGCTTGTGCCAAATTGTTTAAAGTGTTAACTGACCCTGACACAGGTCAACAGCTACCAGGGCAGTTGAGTTTTTTCCTCGACCGTTGAGTCAGTACACTCCAAGCTAAGGAATATGATTAGAATATTAATGAGCCTTCATTTATTTAATAAAGTCATGAAGGATTCTACGCAGGACTGACCGTTTGTCTGAAGGTGCATGTGTAATGCTTATTTGCGGCGTCCACCCAAATAAATCTCCAACAATCCTTTGTCTCACAAGCAATCTGGAAGATACTGGAAGCAAAAACCACACTTGCAATTTTTTTCCTATTTTTGAATTTGTTTATTGCTGCTTGTGTAATTCTGTTGTCTTGCCCTTTTTTGGGTCATTTCACATTGTTTTATGTTGCTACATTCAGTATTTCATTTAATTAAATACAGCTTATTTCTACAAAAAATGTTTTTGGAGTGGATGAACAGTTGCATGGCTTTTCTTTTGACTGGGCCGTTTGCTCTTCGTGTGGGTCATTTTGAATACTGGATACACTGAATAGAGTTTGCTTATGAGTACATAACCCTCCTTGCTTCTCTGACTGGTTTGGCCTTTTTGTTGTTGCTTTTGGGCCTCTGTTTATAACTGCAGTAGAACTTGTACGAACGTTGGGCCTCATTCACCAACATCTAAGTTTTTTGTTAAATTTGTTCTTGAGAAAAGTCCGAGGAAAACTGCCGAATTGTTCGCACCTCTGTTCTCCTCTAAGAACAAACCCAAATTATTCAATAATAATTGAATATCAGAATCTTCTTAACTGCATAAGTGGCTTTTAAGAAGAAATTGCTTCCTAAGATCAGTTGGTGAATGAGGCTCATTGTTTGTTTTGCAGTTATCAGGTGCTAATAATATGTAGCATGGAGAAGTGCTAATTCACTAACCAGTGTAGTTCACTAAAACAAAACCTCTATGTACAAAAGTTTGCAGACACCAGCTTATCCATCATTTATTCTGAAATCATGGGTATTAATGAGGACTTTGTCCCTGTCTTTGCTGCAGTAACTGTCTACTCTTCTGGGATCATGGAGTTGCCAGGACTGGGATTAGGAACCCCTGATTGGTGGCTTTATGACTGATATTCAAATGACCTCTTCAGCATGAATGGGTGGGGCTAAAATAGGTAGATCTATATCACTGAAAGCAGGCTGCTTTTGAATGCTGCGTCCAAAACCACATACCTCCATACTAATTAGTATGAAAAAACCAGTACACCATCCTCAGAAGTACATTCATTAGTATAGTATGCATAATACTGATAATATTGATCAGTAGCTTGAAAATTTTTTATTTTTTTTTAAACTAAATTCCGTGGGTAGCTAGCCTTAAGATGCAGTCTAAGATTTTGGAAGCTTGTTTTCACCATATGGAAAAATATCCGTTTAGTAAGTCACAATAATGAGATTTTTTTCTATAATTATAACTTCATATCTCATAATTATGTCTTGCTATCTAATAATAATCAGATTCAATCCCGTGACTTGTAATATCCTGTAATATGTAATATCCTCTCATGGCTTCTCTTACCACTGTTATGCTGATGACACTCAACTAATGATTTCCTTCCCACCTTCTGACACCCAGGATTCTAGTCACATCTCAGCATGTCTGACTGACATCTCTTAATGGATGGCAGCTCACCACCTAAAGCTCAATCCTAGCAAGACTGAGCTGCTATTCAGAACTACAGGTCCTCATCATGATCTTGCCATCTCATCTCATTCCATCTGAGGATGCAAGAAGCCTTGGTGTGATTCTGGATGGCCAGTTATTGTTCTCAGCTCATATTGCGAACCTGACTCGGTCATGCAGGTTTCTCCTGTACAACATCCGGAGGATCTGACCCTTTCTCACTCCAAAAGGCCACCCAGGTGCTTGTTCAGTCTCTTATCATCTCAAGGCTTGACTACTGCAACTCACTTCTGGCTGGTCTTGCTATGCAGGACATCATGCCTTTGCAGCTGATCCAGAATACAGCAGCACGGCTCGTCTTCAATCTTTCTAAGTTCAGTCACATCACTCCACTGCTGTCTTCCCGTCACTGGCTTCCTGTAGCCGCACGCATCAGATTTAAAACCCTAATGCTTGCCTACAAAGCCAAAAACTGACCCTCCCTACTTGATGACAATGGTCAAAACTCTAACTGTACCTAGAGCCCTTCTAGCTTCAAGTACAGGTCGGCTCTCTGACCTATTTGTAACTAGCAAAGACACTTTCTCTAGGTAGACAAAGCACTTTTTGTCTGCTAAATGCTGTAAATGTAAATAACTTACTTTCTCACAATTGTGACTCAGCATTTCGTAATATTCAGATTTAATCTCATTATCATGACTTAATATCTCATATTTATGACTTAACATCTCATAATAATGGCTATGTCATAATTAAGATTTGATATCTTGGCATCTTTCCATAATTATGGAAAACGTTCTCACTATTATGAGTTACTAAATGGTTATATATTTTTTCCAGTGGCAGAAACGGGTTTCCATACTAAGGTAGATAGATGTCTGTTGAGCTACAGAATCTAATATTCTCAGTTTTCATTTTGTAGAAAAACTTAAAGACTCTGATTTCTTTACAGTGGTGCTGATAGGAACCAGGGGTCACAATGTCTACAACACTAATATAGCCATTTTATTTACTATCTAAACCACCAGCAAACCTACACATCATCTGACACATCTGACAATGTTAGGATAAAAAAGTGGAAAATCTGAAAAAGATAAGCTTTATTTGGGTACTATTTTGACTTCAATGCCTGACATGTATCTCTTTCACCATGACCTAAAAAACATTTTCAGGGAAAATATTCATAAACATTTCAGGTAATAACTTTCTGTGATGTAACTTTTAAAGGCATTAAGCTCTTCAGATGTCTGGTTCCTATCACTTCCACTGTAAACAGTTCTGACTCGGCAAGTTTCTCTACAACTGAGCATTTCACACAAACCTCTGAATGAAAAAATAAAAAAATCAGTGGAATTCTGCTTTCACTGAAACCTATTACGTAGCTAGGATCACTGT